ACAAATGTTGTAATTTTGTGCCATAATAAACAAATTGATGAAAATGGGTCTTTTCAAGAAATCTCGTCTGAAATTCATTCAATTGGGAGGCTAACGGAAATACATGCTACTATTATCAGTTATGATCACCAACCAATTATATCACATGTACCGTATTTGTTCTATTTTTTAGCGCATCTTCAATGAAGGTGTACATGCTTTTATTGCGTGCTAGTTCATTCAAATATTATTTTGACAATACACACCTCTGTCATTTACACAATAGAATATGAGATACTAATAGTACGCTATGTGAAACATTTTGCAGTGGTTTAGACTACAGTAAGCCTATTTTGTTCCAATGGTGATCACATAATTTGTAACATGTATTGGTGTCCAACGTATATAGTATTAAAGGGCAGTTAGCGACATGGACAACATGTGTAAAATACATACATAGTTTGTTTACGTGATATTTGAACACGTGCTGCGTGACGACATCTCCCTTTAAGTGTACCCCGTTTTGTTTGGAAGGGCTTGGGGAATATAAGGGTGATTTAAGGTGATTCACTACCCGAGGAAATAAGATTTCTTGCCATTCTGATAATTACTATTTTTTTAGGAAATGATGCTTTAGCCTGGCTTTCTATTGAAATGTTCCAAAAATGTTAATTTTTGCATTTTTTGAGGCTGTTTTTCTCGGAACACTTATTTCATAATGAGGGAAAAAATGAAAAGTTGTTGACCTTTGTCAAATTCAATAATTTTCTCGCACTTTTTGAACCTAAAGAAATTGTGATTTCCTAGGTTGATTTATTAGGTTGAATATCAACATTCTACCCTAAATAAGTAAAACTGCACACTTTATAAAACTTGAAAGACAGTTACAATACTTCTGGAACAAGATGGCATACTTACAAGCGCAGTCGGTTTTTATTTTAGCAGTATAACATTGGTTGAATTTTTTTTTTTTTTTTTTTTTTGTAGTTGTGCTGATCGGAGATTCTGGAGTTGGCAAGAGTAACTTGCTGTCAAGATTTACACGAAATGAATTTAACTTGGAGAGTAAAAGTACGATTGGCGTAGAATTTGCCACGCGTAGCATCCAGGTAGATGGTAAAACGATAAAGGCCCAGATATGGGATACTGCAGGACAGGAGCGATACAGAGCCATTACCAGTGCGTAAGTGGACGTTTTCAACTAAACCGTCTGATTTCATGTTCTGATCTGCTTGTCACCTATTTTGACAAGTAGGTAGTTTTCAATCATTATGCCCACTAACAGAATTGTTGAGATCTCAAAATGGAGAAGAGACAGCGATAAGAATTGTTTTATGGAATTGACAGCGTTTTGATTTCCAGTGTTTATATTTTTATCTTTTTGCTCCTTTCTGTGGCTGATTTAAATAATTGGTCTAATATTACAGGTACTACCGTGGTGCTGTGGGTGCGTTACTAGTATATGACATAGCCAAACACTTAACATATGAAAATGTTGAAAGATGGCTAAAAGAACTGAGGGACCATGCAGACAATAATATAGTCATCATGCTAGTGGGCAACAAGAGTGATTTGCGACATCTTAGGGCAGTTCCTACAGATGAAGCAAAAGCATTTGCAGGTAGGACTAATTCATTTCTGTTTATTAGGAACTAGTACCAATTGCAAAGACAAAATCATCTCCCAAAAATATCTGATACTTTTT